CTACTCCATCCATCTAAAGGCCATTCTTACCTTCCCCGATTCTATGCAACATGTCGGCTTGAAAGCGTTACTACGAGCAACTTTCAATCTACCCGGGTAACAAACCATTTGTCCATGTGTTTGTTTGTTTGGGTGTTATTGTTTGGGGGTTTTTTTTGGGGGGGGGTTGTTGTTTTTTGGTGGGTAAGTGTTTTGCGGCGATCGCAACTGCATAAGGTCATATGACGACACGGGACACATTAAACATTATCAATTGGTACGACATTTTCAATTTTGTCTGGGTGGCGGCCGAAGCCTACTCTTATCGATTTTAGACCACCAATGGATCTTTAGCGTGCGCAACTTGCACACGGGCCATCCGAGATTTTTCGCCCTTGTCCGAGAAGGCTAGGTGTAGATCTTTCCTACCAGAAGATCTGGGGTGTGGCTGAAAGACAGCAGTAAGAAAGAGCCAAGGAGTAGCAGTGGAAAGGCTGTAGAAAGAGTTAGGAACCCAGAGTAGGGGGCAAAGGAGGGGAGGGAGTGGGGTCAGAAAGTGGAGACGAAAGCAGACGACAGAACATTGCTAGAGAGTAGGAAAGGAGTTTAAAGGAGACAATTTTAGAGAAGAAAAATTTTCCACCGCTAACCGGATTCTAAGCCGAGACCTTTGATTGAGAGGCCAACACCTTAACCTCTAGGCCACGAGAGCCCCCCCCCCCCCCCATGTGTTTGGGTGTTTTTCCCCTTTATATTTTTTTTCCTCCTCACAAGAATGGATTTCCCTCATTCATTTTGAAATATATTAGTCGAAGTCAGGAATGTTAGTGAGGTTGGGTTTTATTTTGGTTTGTTTATTTATTTTTTAAATTTTTTTTTTTGCTTGTTTTTGTCGGGTTGTGGTGTTGGGTATTTTTAACTGGTTATTTTTGGACAGGGGAAGATTATATTGTGCTTCTTTTGTAACAAATATAAGTAAGTCTTCTCAAAGACCACTAAGTTAGCCCTGTGATTACGTAATGAAGGAATAGAAAAGCAAGAAGGTACAGAAGATTCATTGAGGTTAGCATCATGCATGTTTATCTGATTAGATAAATAATGTGTTATTTCAGCTCGACATCCTCCCGCCCCGCCACTCTTGCCCAAAAGCCCCAACTCTTGGGTGCGTACGTAGAATATGTCTGTACGTCTCAGTGTATATATGTGTGTGTGTGTGTGTGTGTGT